AACCCCATCTGTCGAAAAAACGTCCAGCCAAAAAATTGTCCGTTGAAGAAGTTTCTTTCGAAGAAGTGAGATGGAAAATATCAAGTTCTGTCGCGCTTCGAGGACTGTGAAATTGCACGGAATATTCTCAAAACATTTGTTACTCAAGGTGTCTAATTTTTTTTTGTAGTACAGTCGCCTGGATCACTTTGGGCCAGGCCTGAAATGATCACAAAAACTGGCTGATGACTATGAGTGGATTTTTGACTAGAGAATCTATCCGATAATGCAGCTTTATTTCAAGTATGAAGTGGAAATAGCAGTCCTTTAAGTCCTGTGCAATTCTTGAATTCAGGAGTTTTCATAAATTATTATTAGTAACATGCGGAACAATTTTAACGCTCCGAGACATCGGGTTTCGGATTCATCTGGATTTTTCTTCGTTCGAGGTCGGTAAATGGTTATTTTTTTGCATCCTCTCTCACATTCCTGTTCCGTGAATTCGGTTCCACATATCATTTCAACGGACGCATTGAAAGGTGTTCCCTCCCTGCCAGACGATAATCGACAACGGCGGTTATTGTGACCTGCTGCTTTAATAATCGCTCCCTCAGTGCTTAATGCTTCTATGGAAAATAATAATAACTGGGGATCCTCCCAGAGGGAGGGAATCCCCAAATTATTACCACACTCCCTATCTTCCATTGAAGCCGGGCACAGAGCGCCTGGTACCAGGCGAGCGATAGGAGAGCGTGTACCCAAAGAAGCCTGGGTATGGCCCCGGCTGGGATCGAACCCAGCCGTCCCGGTCGGCACGCGGACGCTCTGCCACGAGGGCCATTCCGCCGGTTGCTTAGAATACTTGTTAAAGGAAGGATATGTTCTCGAGCTGGATTTCCCCGGAGGAGGTCGGAGAAAAACAGAGCCCCGGGTGAAAAGAGGCCAGACGGCGCACACTCCTCTGTCTTGGTTGGCTTCCTCTTTCCAGTTGCTGCGAAAACTGTCCTGTGTCATGTCGTCCAAGTGGTTCATTTGCCCAACAACTCCCAGTTGTTCGTGAGTTGTGACAGCCTGAACTTTTTAAATGCCTTGACGCATTAATATGAAACGTTTCGGTTTCGTATTTATTGTAGCGAACGTGTGTGTTTCCTCGGATGCAGTGATGGAAGTCAACCTGCACAAGTATGGGAAAAGTATAAACGAGGGACGTGACGTCATTGAACCTCACCATCTTCCCGAATTGCTATTATCAGGCCTTTCGGTAAGGGTTCATTATTATTTTAAAAGTAATTATAATATATATTTTTGCATATTCAATCTCGACTATCTATGACTTAGACGTCAAGAGGACTGTTAAAGGATTGACGATCGTCATGATATGAACTATTGCCAATTGCTGGAATATTTAACGCGCACTTTTTATGCCAATCGCAATTCATAGTGAAGCTCGGAAGATCGATTAAATTCGGAAATCGGGTATATCGAGGCAAAAAAAGTCGGATTCGCAAGGTCACCTCTAGTTCAATCCAAAAATCATCAGGATCTGTGAGGCGTCTGTTGGAGGCGCGGTTCTGGACACGATGGCCCAGGGAGTGCAGTCAACCCTCGAAATATCGCCACTCTCACTTACCAGCCAGCTCTTTCTCTAGAACAAATTTTGCCCATGATACCCTTGCAAGCTGCCATCCGCTGAACACCATCATTTGTACAAACATACAACTGAATTTGAATATAAATGTACCACCCCTCGAGAGGTCACTCATTGCTGTGAAATTGATGATGAATAGGACACATGTAGAATATCGGAGGGGGCTAAGGATGGCAACGTAAGCATCCACTTAGTCGACTTGGCCCTCGGAGATTTCGATATCGTAGCAAAAGTTAAATCTTGAGGTTTGCATAAAAATGCGCGGTAAAGTTGTTGGGTGGATTGATGAAACTGACTTTAGCCTAATGCCAGCATTAAACCTCCATTAGGGGTGGATTTAAAGCTGCTTTAGCGGAGATTTTTCATATGGATTGCGTATAACAATTTTACCTTAACGCAGCATTAAATCCCGCATTAGTTTAATGCCACGATGACCCTACTACTTTAAACCTCCGTTAGCACCGAGGAGGAACGTACCGCTAACTTGGCACACTTCCTGATTGCTTCACTGATGTCCACGGACGATGATTTTAATTTAAATTCAATTTTGTCCTGAATGTTTCTGAGGCTGTAAAGAAAGCAGAATGAATAAGCAGGGAATTCAGTAGATGGTCGCCCGAACTCAGCTGAAGCACTTGACGCCCAGGAGCATGTGTTCCACGATCGACTTGGAGCAGTAGTCACCTGAAGAGGTATCGCGGAGGTACCGGTTCACACCTCAGGGAATCCTCCTTTTGGTGGACAATTTTTGAACCCGATCTACAGGGGTTTTGGAAAGTCACACTTTTTTTTTATTGTACGAGGTAATAACGTTTGTCATTTTTGGACTCGAACAATGGTTTTGCGTAGAAAGAAAGAGATTTGATTGATTTATCTGTTTGCAGGAACCCTCCATGGTGCCAACATTGAGGGTGAAATTTACCGGATCCGTTTAAGCTGAACTAATCTGATCTCACAATGATCCCGTATGGGAATCAGTTTAATAGAGAAGCACATTATGGAAAACAATCAGTTTAAAGTTAAAGGAATCTGGTGCATGCTACCCTGAATCTTCGACACCACGCGCAAAGTAGCTGCGCAGTATAAGGGGTGGAGGCGGTGAAAATGGGAAGTTGCATCCAAGGCATTCTTTCATCACCACCCCGAGACCATGAGGATCGTACTTCCAGTCAAAAAATGACAAACGTTTTCACAATTTTAAAATAGGGAGTGACTTTCCAAACACCCTGTAGAGCGCAGAACGAAGAGGAACTACGCGATAACCACCACTGCTGCAGATCTGCTGTGCTCTTCGGTTCTATCGGTTCGGCGCGGGTCCTTTCAGGTTGTGATCTCCAATACATTCAGGAGAGTTAGTGATATCAAGAGGCGATTTCGCCCATTTCGATATCACGTGTCGAGGTCGAGCGTTCCTTAATTTCAGGGTAGGCCTAACCCTCTTAAAGCTAAATATTTTTTTTTTTTTTTTTTTTTTT